GGGGGGGGAGGTTGGGGGTGTGGAGGGGGTTTGGGGGGTTTAGAGGGGATTTGGGGGGTTTGAGATGGTTGGAGGTGGTTTGGGGGGAGGTTTAAAGGGAGACATTGGGAGTTTAGGGAGGTTTGGGAGGGCTTGGAAAGGAGCGTGGAGGGGGTTTGAGGGGGTTGCAGGGGGGGTTGCAGGGGATTTGGGGAGTTGGAGGGGGAGGGAGAGTTTGGGAGGCTTTGTGGAGGGGGATTCAGAGGGGATTTGGGTTGGGATGGTTGGTTGGTTTGGGACGGTTGGAGGTGGTTTGGGGAGTTTCAGGGGGCTTTGCAGGAGACTTGGGGGGGGTTGAAGGGGGACGGGAGTTTATGAAGGTTTGAGAGGGGTTGGAAGGGAGTGTGGAGGGGGTTTGGGGGGTGTAGAGGAGATTTGGGGGGCCAAGAAGGTGGTTTGGGGAAGGTTTCTGGGGGGTTGCAGGTGCATTTGAAGGGGGACATTGGGAGTTTAGGGAGGGTTTGGGAGGACTTGGAAGGGAGTGTGTGTGGAGGGGTTGGGTGGTTGGAGGGGGGTTTTTCCAGGGATTTGGGGGTTAGAGAGAGAGGGAGAGTTTGGGAAGGTGTGTGGAGGGGGTTTTAGAGGGGCTTTGGGAGGGGTGGAATGGCTGGAGGGGGTTGTGGAGGATTTGGGGGGGTTGTGGGGGCTGAGGGAAGTTTGAGGGCATTAGGAAGGATTTGGGGGGGCCGTGGGAATGGTGCCAGCCCCAGGAGTGAGCCCCGGAGGTGCCTGCAGGGCTCAGCAGCAGCGAGGGGCGAGACCCCGTGCCCTGGGCTGGGGTCCGTGCCCTGGACAGGGGGGTCTGTGACCTGGGCAGAGAGGGGTCCATCCCCAGGTGGGGGCTCTGCGTCCAGATTGAGGGGCCCCGGGCAGAGGGGTCTGTGTCCCGAGCAGGGTGGGGGCTGTGCCCCAGACAGGGATTCCCAGCCCCGGGCAGGGGGGGCCGGGCTCAGGGGGCTCAGGGCCGCGGGCAGAGGGGTCTGTGCCCCCTCACAGAGGGCTCCCTGCCCCAGACAGGGGGGCTGGTTCGGGGTCTCAGCACAACGGGCAGAGGGGTTTGTGCCCCAGGAGGGGGGTCTGGGCTCGGGGGGCTCGGGACCGCGGGCAGAGGGGCCTGTGCCCCGGAGAGGGGTCCCGGTTCGGGGGGCTCAGCACCGCGGGCAGAGGGACCTGTGTGCTCGCACGGAGGGGTCTGTGCCCCGCACGGGGTCGGTCTCGGCGGTCCAGCCCCCACCCCCGGGCCGGGGCCGCCCCAACTCATCGCACGGAACCCCCGGGCTGGAGGGGGGGGCTGCGGTCACGTGATCGCGGCGTCACGTGACGGGGGCGAGGGTCAGCGTGAGGAGGCCGCTCTGCCCCGCCCCCTCGCTCGAGCTGGCCAATGGAAGCGGGGCGGACGGGTAAGGTGGCCAATGAGGGGCGGGGGGGGGGGGCTGGGGGCCGGGGGGGGGTGGGGCTTGCGGCCGGGACCGGGAGCGGGTACGGGCGGGGGGACTGGGAGCGCTGGGAGGTACTGGGGGCAACTGGGGGGCACTGGGAGGTGCTGGGAGCACTGAGAGGAACTGGAGGTCTCGGGGAACACAGAGAGGCACTGGAAGAATTGGGAGGAACTGGGATCGCTGGGAGGAACTGGGAGGTACTGGGGGGCACTGGGGGTCGCGGGGGCACTGGGAGGTGCTGGGAGAACTGGAAGGAGCTGGGATCGCTGGGATGTACTGGGAGGAACTGGGATCACCGAGAGGCACTGGGAGTCTCGGGGGGCACTGGGAGGCACTGGAAGTCTCGGGGGGGACTGGGAGGAACTGGGAGTCTTGGGGGGCACTGGGAGGAACTGGGAGTCTCGGGGGGGACTGGGAGGAACTGGGAGCACCCAGAGGTGCTGGGAGTCACGGGGTTAGTTGGGAGGCGCTGGGAGGCACTGAAAGGTACTGCGAGGAACTGGGAGTCACGGGAGCCACTGGGAGGTGCCGGGATCCCTGGGAGGTTCTGGGGATACTGGGAGGTTCCTAAGAGTCACGGGGGCCACTGGGAGGTACTGGCGGTGCTGGGAAGGTTGGGAGTCGCTGGAAGTCACGGGAGACTCCGGGATTCCCCGGGAGTGATGCGGGGGAGGGGAGCGCTGGGAGTCCCGGGGGAGCGCTGGGAGGTACTGGGAGCACTGGGAGTCCCTTGGGGCACTGGGAGTCACGGGGTGCTCTGGGGGTACTGGGGGATACTGGGAGTTATGGGGGGGCACTGGGAGTCATGGGGGGGGCACTGGGGGCGCTGGGCCGGCGCGGCGGGGGGGGGGGGGGGCGCCCAGCCCGGCCCTGGGGGGGGCGGGGGGGGGGGGGAGGGTCGTGCAGTGACACCCAGGGGACCCCCCCTGCGTGGGAGGCATCACCCCCCCCCGTGGGGCTCAGGCACCCCCCCGTGACACACCTTGGGGGGGGGAAGGGGTGTGACCGCGCGGGGAAAGGGAAGTGAAAGTGATTGTGGAAGTGGGAAGGGGGGGTGGGGCAGCGGGGGGGCCCATCCTGCACCGCAGGGAGATGTTATCGGGGTGCTGCCGCCGCGGTTGGGGTGCCAGACACCGCAGTGCCCCCCCCCGCTGGCTGTGGGGGGTCCCCCAGCACCCCGAGGTGCCCCCCCCAGCACCCCGAGGTGTCCCCCGGGGTGGGGGGCTCTGGGTGAGGTGGTGGGGCTGGGGCTTTCCTGACACGTGGCTGAAAGAAGAAGCGAGAGTTTGGGGGGGCAGCTCTGCCCCCCCTCCCCTACTCGGTGAAAGGGGAAACGGAGTCCATGGGGGTGCGGGGGGGTCCCACAGGTGCCCCCGGAGCCATGAGGACCCTCGTGCTGCTGTGGGTGGCCCTGGCCGGAGCAGGGGCCCAGCTGCTGTGTCCTGAGGGGGGGCCATGCCCCGTCACCCCGGTGAGTGTGCAGGGTTTGGGGGGGAGCACAGATGGGGGTCCCCAACAGGGGATAACCCCCTGTGCCCCCTCCCCAGGCCCTGCCTGCCCGCAGCGCAGTGGGATGCCAGGATGGCTCATCCTGCCCTGCCAGCACCAGCTGCTCCCTGCCCGAGGTGAGACCCCCCCCCCCACCAGTACCTATTTTCCCCTCTCCCTGACATTTTTGGGGATTCTCTGACCCCCTCGTGTCTCCCCAGAGTGTCCCCTGTACCGGGGGCCAGCGCTGCTGTCCCCGAGGGTCCCGCTGCGGCGCTGACGGGGAGTCCTGCGTCCCAGACCCAGGTATGGGGGGACCACGGCGGGATGGGGGGACACAGGAGGGATGTGGGGTTCCTCACCGTGTCCCTGCAGCCCCCCGTGCTGTGCCCTGTCCCGACGGAACGTCCGAGTGTCCCGATGACGCCACGTGCTGTGTGACGGCCAGCGGCGCCTGGGGGTGCTGCCCTATGCCCCAGGTACGGGCTGGGGGGGGACATGGGGACACTCTGGGGGGGGACACAGCGAGGCCATCGCCGTGACGAGTGTCCCTGGTGCCCGCAGGCCTCGTGCTGTGCCGACAAGGTGCACTGCTGTCCCCACACCACCACCTGTGACCTGGCCCACGGGCGCTGCCTGTCCCCGGGCGGTGACAGGGATGTTCCCCTGAGCACGGCCTTCCCCGCCTGGAAGCGCCAGCCCCCCGCCCCAGGTAAGGGGTGTCCCCCTCTCTGGGTGCCCTCGCTGTCCCCGTGGAGGGTACACAGGGGTGGGGACAGGGTTTGGTGACACGGTGGTGACACGGTGGGCCCCCCCTGCAGTGGAGCTGCGCCAGGTGCTGTGTCCCGGCGGCCGCTCGGCGTGTCCCGACGGAGCAACCTGCTGCCAGCTGTCCCCATCCGAGTATGGCTGCTGTCCCCTGCAGAACGTGAGTGCTGGCACCACCCTGGGCGGTACCCCACGATGGGCAACCTGTGCCAAACCTCCTGTGCCGGGTACCCCAAACCAGGCACCCCGAAACAAGCACCTCGTGCCAGGCACCCCAATTCTGGGCACACTCAGCTGGGCACCCCAAACCAGGCAGTCTGGGCTGGGCACCCCACGCTGGGCAGCCTGTGCCAAACACCCCATGCCAGGCACCCCAAATGAAGAACCCGTCACTTAGGCACACTAAACAGCCACCCCTCACTGGGCACCCCAAACCAAGCACCCTGTGCTGGGCACCCCACATTGGACAGCCTGTAACAAAAACCCCAAACCAGGCACCCCAAAATAAGGACCCCTCACCAGGCAGCCTGTGCCTGGCACTCCAAACCAGGCACCCAACACCCTCCAGTCACCCCATCCCAGGCCAGACAAGTATCCCATGCCAGATACCCTAATTCAAGGCACCCCACTCTGATCACCCCATGCCCAGCGCCCTGTACTGGCCCCCCCGTGCCAGCTGCCCACATTGGGCACCCTGTGCTGTCAGCCCATACTGAGCACCCCATGTTGGGCACCCTGTTCTGAGCACCCTGTACTGAGCAACCCACACCAACCACCCCACGCTGAGCACCCCAGACTGGGCACAGGTATTGGGCACCCCACTCCAGGCACCTCATGCCATGCCCCCCATGCCATGCACCCCCCAGCAGCCCCCCTGTCCCCAGGGTCCCTGTGACCCCTGTTCTCTCCCCCCCAGGCCGTGTGCTGCAGTGACGGGCAGCACTGCTGTCCCCAGGGCACCACCTGTGACCTGACCCGCTCCACCTGCACCTCCTCGGGGGGCTCCAGGCCCCTGGCAGCACTGCCCACAGGTGAGACCCCCCGCCAGGGGCAGCCACCCACCCTGTGCTGTCCTGGGGAGGGGACACCGGCTCTGAGTGTGCCCGTGTCCCCAGCTGGTGAGGTCAAGTGTGACGAGGAGAC